TCAGTGGGAGTGTTCTCAGTATTTGAGTAGAGCCCAACTGTTCAGGTAGACATTATTAATGAACTTTCTCTCTTAGATCTGCATAGATTATTTTTTATATATTGTAATGTAAAATGAAACTTTGTGATAGTTAAGAAATGCAATTAATCCATTTATAATGGACAATTGCCCCCTTAACAAGTAAAATTGCCTGGCATATCAGACGGGCTTATAAATGCCAGAACCTATATTTGTGAAAAATTACCGAGTGAGTCAATTTATTTGACATACCATACATTAGCTTGCATTGTGCCCTAATGCACCCTACTTTATTATTTTACTGTCTAACACCTGACAATTTTACTTGTGAACTGGAGAGCCACTGGTGCTCAATGGATTAACATATCAATAATGTCTAACTGAACAGTTTGGGCTCTACTCTACAGTAAATTTCCCTGTAATCGGAGTCTGGGATCTGTGACCCAATACATCTTCAGTGTCTTCATATGGTACTCAGGTACTGTCACTATTCTATATGTATAATGGACATTTCTCATTTAGGGCGAAACTGATGCAAGTCTGTCATGTGGACAAGAAATTAATGAATGTTCAAATAGCAAAAGTAGTGGTGCACCAGCTCTTGCCTAGCCAGACCTAACTGGCAGAACTAACCATGACTTTTCTCTATAATTTTGTGGGAATGTGTTATAATATGTACTACAAACTGCCAAAAAATAACCCATGAGCTTTAGTTTTAATAATACTGTATTACATGTAACTTGACTGTACAGTTAAGTTTTAAAATTATTTACTGCATGGTCAAAGAATAATGATCAAATTAGCAAGTTTAATTAATTAAAATAAATAATATACAAAATCAACAAATTTTTGTTCTTAATTAATTTTGAAACATTACAATACATGTTTCTTGGTATGGAGTTTCACTAACAACAGTGGCATGAACGATCTAGCCTTCTCCGCAGGCATCTCACCTGAGGAATTGGGTGGTGGGAACCCATTTGCAGGCTAAAACCAGAGGTGTGTAATTTAACACTTGCGTGTGTAATTTAGCACCTGTAATTTTCCACTATAAAAATAACCACACAGTGAGGTCTTACTTACTGGCATAGTTGTTGTATTAACAGCCCTTACCTCAGGGACACCAGAAATATGCCAGTGTCAATACTTGAGTCAATTAACCCAATACTCTAGGGATGGGGCAGACAAGTTAATGCATGGCCTTTTAAAGATACATACAACAAACTATCAGAGAGTACACAATATACAAACTTGGGCAAACCATGCATAATTTCTCACATCAGCTGAGTTGTGTCCCACACCAGTTCACCACAAGCTCATGCATGACAAAACCCGACCTTGGCTAAATCTACAAAACCTTGCTTCCCTCTTTAATATACTAGCACATCATAGTTTCATGTCAAATATTTGTCAAATTCATATATATGTACAACCATTAATTCCTTGGGATTGTAAGATGAAATTATTATATTTTAAAGTTAAAAGGTTCGTCTTCAACCACATATAAAATACTGGTGGCTTATTTTCTGAAAAATAGAGTACATTCAACCATTTATTCCTCATTTTTTCATGAAATATTTAAAATAGTAATGTGAATTTTAACATATTGATAAATACCTGTTTTATATAGACTGATAATACCTTAAAATACGGATGTAAGGATGTTTGCTCTGGCTTGAGCCTTGAAGTATCGTTTTTGCCAACATTTCGCGAGGTGTTAATAGTTGTTTGTTGTCTTTCACGCTCCACGGACGACAATGAACGTGTACGGCTTCCACATTTTTGAACAAATTGTTAACAGTCGAAAAAATATGTCAAAATTATCAAAACAACAAGGATTCACTGCAAAAACCCCAAATATTTTTATAAAAAACAGGGGGGTGTGAAAACTGTGGCGGGCTCATATATGAGCCTTGTTCAGTGGCAATTACCATGAATTTAGGGACCAGTAGTCATGGAAATGGCGTCATTTTCACTCAAAATCCGCCATGTTTTTGGCGACACTTTGTTCACTGAACGAAGTATAGGAGCAGGTCCTCCAGTTATTATACAGCTCAGTGGTTTTTGCAGCTATGAATACTCAAGTTTTTTGAAGTCACAACTTTGAAAACCAATAGTAAAGTGTGTCTTAGATGTAATACAAGCTTCACATTTGCCATGTGGTAAATGCTTATTATTTAATATTGTAGCTAGGTTAATTGGTACTAGCATGCCAAAACACTTCAAGTGGAAAAGAATCATAGCCTGGATATGGTCATGATGATGCCATTTGAAACCGATTGTGTTACATCAAGATCTTGATTTTATTTGGTTTGATGTCGATAATTGTCAACTATGTCTTGCTGTATAAATGAATTCATCAAAGAAACTCTCTTGAGCAATCCAATTGATTCTTACATGTGTATTGATCGAAAAAGGGTCACCATCAACAGATTCGGGACGAATGTAATGACAGGCACTTTATTAATTTGCTGCCTACATGCAACATATTTCTTTAGCAAGGGGATCTACTGTGTAATGATTAATTTAATATAGTCTTTGTTTTTTACCTATCCTTGTCTCATTGTACATGCCAAGCTGCCTCTCTTTGAGAAGTAAAATTTGTGGTGTGAGGCAATCAAGTATTATTGCTATGCAGGTAATAAACAGAGCACCTTGCCTGTAATGGGCTAACAAAACAACATAATTCCTACTTTTCAATTTGAAAAATCCAGGGCAATATATATAATAGTCCATAAGGCTATAAATATGCATATGGCTTAATGTGATCTGCAGTACAGTTTGTCAGTTTACTGTGTCTATATACACGAAAATTTACTTGTCAAGGGGGAAATGTTGGGCATTATTCCATTAATGAGTTACTGTCGATGCAATAGAAGTGTTGATAAAATATTGCACCAATTCCTTTCCTCAAGTTGATCAATTCATTTGATAGAAAATTGATCAACTTCCTGTTACTTTTAGATGAGCCAATTAGATTTCGTTTCAGAACCGATTGACCAATAGGAAACGCACAGGAAGTAAAAAGAAATTTGAATTCGTATGAATTGATCAACTTGAGGAAATGAATTCATGCAATATTTTATCAACACTTCCATTGCATCGACAGTAATTTCAAATGAAATTATTATTTCCATAAAAGATCCACACTCCCCCCACGGAGAAAATTCTGCCGTTCGGAAGGGGAGGGGAGATAAAATTGTTTCTATTAATAGTAAATACAGTATTAGGACATCCGAAGGGGGTAGGGGGGGGGGGTTAACGTCCAATTCAGACCTCCGTGGGGGTGGTATGAATGTTTTCTGGAATGACTCAATTCAATTTCATGCAAGATTAGGAAATAACTTGCTTCGTCTGTTACTATAATCAGGATGATACCATGTAAAGGTACTGTACTGTAAACACATTTACTGAAGTTCTACCGTTGTTGTCTTTGACAAATGTATATGCATGAATTCAGTTGTGGACATTTAAATTTGACAGTATTCAGTAACTTTTAATGTGTCAATGATGCATGCATGGTTTGAAATCAAGTTGTTGACTTTAATTCTAGAAACACATGGCTAGTTGGTATAAAATATATTTCTCAGAAAACTTTCTCCCGTACTTTTTGGATTAGATGAAGCAATTGACTTAGTATAATTAGACTGATTGCTAGTTTTCTCGATACTTCCCGTTTTAGGAGGTAAGTTGCATTAGTCGTCAGAAAGCGTTCTGTAAACTCTCGGAAGATTTTACCTCGTTTTTTAATTATTTCTACGCAATTTTTAATGTTATGAAAACTAAGTGATGTTTTTTCATGGTTTTGGTTTTCATAACATTAAAAATGTGTAAAAATAATTAAAAAGATGAGGAAACGTCTTCAAGAGTACCGGTTTAACTCCTGAAACGGAGTTAAAATTATTCAACCCCTGAATAGGGGTTAGATTTTAACTCCAATATGAGAGTTAAATTAACCCCAAAAGTGGAGTTACATTTTAACCCCAGAAATGGAGTTATTTGTAACCCCAAAAAAGGATTATTTTGAACCTTTTTTGCTAACCCCCTTTTCCGGAGTTATTTTAACTCCCTGAAAATAACAGTGTGGTTGTCGCTTATTATAGTTCTCTATATTTCCCCAACAGTTCTATATTTCCCCAACATTGATTAAAATTAATATGAATTATTAGTAATTGGCCAACACTGAACGCAGGCTTCCGTTCGGCTTCTAGTGCTGCCACAGCAACACGATCATGAATGATTCATGAAGTTCTGTTCTGTTTTGTATAGACACATTTGGCTAACATTGCATTCACAGTTTTAGGTAACTGCTATGCCTAGTTACTATTGACTGAGAGGTTTTAGTGCTAGTGGTTTTAGTACATGCTAATACATTTTGTATGTAATATGTTATTAAGTATACTAGAAATACATGCATGCAACTACCCTTCGCCTATATTCTCCAAACATTAATTTGTTTCAACATGAAGTATTCTTAATTACGCCAACACTGAACGCATGCTCGCGTTGCCCACGTCATGTTAGTCATGGCAACACGATAATTGTTTTTAATTTTTTGTACAAACCTGAAAAAATAGATGAAACTTGAACACCTTTAAATACAGAACTATCAAATTCTAAAATATATAAATTTGGTTTCGATGGGCTTTATTTTCATGTAAAATTCGAAGCGAAACTCTACGTATTAAAAACGTTTTTAAGTGTGAATTGAAATTAACGGCTTTTTGCCAATATTAATGAAATAAATTTAATTCTTTGAAATGAAATAAATTTAATTCGTACAGGGCACTAATGAAAATAATTTGCTTTCCTTTTTATCATGAACTTCTACAATAAAAGTTAATTTAACTCAGAAACTTTCGCATACAATGCATAGGAAAGACTTGAACAATGAACAATGAACAACAAGAACAAAGTCTATTATCAAATAAAAAGTCATGCATAAACAATTGAAACAAACTTGCCCTACAGGCTATACTTTAGGATTTGTCATACTAAATTTGTATTTGTATTTGTATTTGTATTTAATTATATTTATACACGGTAACCTATCAATTGATATTGATTTTCATAGGGCCGTGTAATATTTACAAGTAAGAGAATACAATTATAATATTTACAATTTATCGTTTAGATGCTGATTCCAGGTCTTAGCCCCCATATAACTAAAACTTCTCTTCATAGAGTTTGTATTTGGTTTTGACAGTCTTAGAAATTTTCCATTACTTCTTAAATTATAATTAAAATTGTTGCACTTTCAAAAAGACCACCTATTATCTCCGGACCATTATCATTCATAACAATACTCATACATTTTTCAATGAGATTTTGTCGCCTTTCATCCAGTGTTTTCCAGCCTTTAGTATAGTTACTATTTTATTTCGAAAGTATTCAGATTTAGATTCCTTTATAGTTTTGTTGACTTTGTTCCTTTGTGTCTTAAATGCTTCGTGATAATGTAGAGAATTGTGCTTAATTGCCAATTTTTTTTTAAGTAATCACGGTGGTACATGCTCTTTTTTATATTAATTACTTGTTAGCCAGGGTGCATATTCACTCCTGACTTTACGTATTCTAGTCGGTGCATGTTTTTCAAGAACCATATTAAAGATATTTTTCCAAGATTCCCACATTTCATTTGGGTCTGATGTATCAAAATCAAAATTTTCAAAATTGTATTTTAAATCTTCATTGAATTCATGACTGTTATATTTTTTTAAACAACGCGTAACGACTACTTTACTTTTAGGCACAGATAGTTTTCGACAAGTGTATACCAGACTATGGCCACTTATTCCAATGTGTATAACTCAGGATTGTGTGTAACTGATTGATTTAATAAATCATAGTTAAAGTCTCCCAAAATCACAATTTCTTTTTCTTCATTGTCCAAGTTTTTAATAAGACTTTCAATTAACTTTAAGACTTCATGATTTGAATTTGACGGAGATAACTAAATGAATTCTTATAAATGTTTACGTTTAAAAATTGAAAAAAAGTTTTACAATTTGTTATGTGAAACGATTTCCCACGCTTTCTTATACATGTATTTTTTATATTTTCCCCCTCTTCACTCCTGGCAAACAGCCACATTTTGAGATCAGTAAGATGACCACCCATACACCCATGAACCGCGCCTGCGATATTTGATGAACTTTAGACTTCGCTAGTGCGTTCCTTTCCCCGGGTGTAAATAGCCGGGCGGAATTAGTACCCTCGCCCCGGGTTTACGGCCGGAACGGCGCTCGGGGATTAATGAGTATTAATTTGCTGTAAACGTGGAATTACTAAAACGGAAGTTTTTTTTCGAAAAAAACATTCGCTGAAAAGATGTAGTGATACAAAATTTCAAAAATCTGTCATTTTGTTCTATTTTTAGTAGAATGGTGGATAGGATTTTAGTAGAATGGTGGATAGGATTTTTTATATTTTGAATTAATAATTATATTTTTGCAGTGAATAGTCGTATTTCGAAACAGATTACAGTTTTGAGAGTCCTATACCACGCTCTTTCAAAAATATACATATCTGCAATAATTGCTAATTTCTGGCGCAGATTGTGACGTAATTTCCCCGCCAAAAATAACTTCAAAAACAGAAACGACACGATTTGTAAGAATGATAAACATATATACATATATATATATATACATATATATATATATATATATATATATATATATATATATATATATATATATATATATATATATATATATATATATATACATATATATATACATATACAGGGTGTATAAAAAAAAACTGAACAGATTTAAAATTGCTCTCAATTTCGCAAAACAGCTATTTGTATCTGGTTTTTTATATATATAGCTTCTTTGGGTAATAATGAGAAAAATTTCTCGAACTCAAATTTTGTGAACCAGGGGGGTGTGTCTTTTCCAGCAAACTAAAAATGGCTCGCGCACAAAATTTAAAAGCTGCAATCATATTTTGAGTTAACAGATGGAAAATTTGTCGGGTTTTTAATTACTGTACAAAATTTCAGACAATTTGGTTTAGTTTAAGCCCCTTAACTATTCACGCAAAGTTACAATTTTTCCGAAAAATCAGCTATTTGCATGCTTAATTAATGCATTTGCCTAATTTGCATATGTCAGCAATATGCAAATTAGGTAAAGGCATAATTAAGCATGCGAAAGGCTGACTTTTTAGAACAAAATGAATAGTTAAAGGACTTAAACTAAACCAAATTGTCTGAAATTTTGTACAGTAATTAAAAACTCGACAAATTTTCAATCTATCAACTCAAAATATTATTACATATATATATATATATATATATATATATATATATATAAAAACAGATACAAATAGGTGTTTTGCGAAATTGAGAGCAATTTCAAATCTGTTCAGTTTTTTTTGTACACCCTGTATATATATATATATATATATATATATATATATATATATATATATATATATATATATATATATATATATATATATATATATATATATATATATATATATATATATATATATATATATATATATATATATATATAATATATATAATATATATAATATATATAATATATATAATATATATAATATATATAATATATATAATATATATATATAATATTTGGATTTAGTATTTTTGTACAAGTGAACATAACAAATCGTACACGTTGATTGGT